TATAGCCTGAGGAACATATGGTGTACCAGTCAGTCGCTTGGACTAATTGTTTCCATGCATCTTTGGTTTTCTTCATTCTTCTTTGCTCTGGATGAGGAGAGACCCATTGTTGCATCTAGATGGCTGCTTTCTTTAACATTGTTTTTATAAATGTTTTAAATTATCTTCCCTTTCTATAACAGAATAGATAGAAGTAAGCACATATTAATCATGGATGCCAGGATCCTATAATTTCACCGTCACTCATGAATTCAAACTGACTAGTGAACACACGGAGTCCCTGGGTGATGCAAATGGTTAATGCACTTGGCAGCTAACCCAAAGGTTGGAGGTCTGAGTTCTTAAAAGAAAACCCTGGCAATCTACTTTTGAAAAACCAGCCATTGAAATGCCTGTGAAATACAATCCTACTCCTATACACATGGGATTGCCATGATCAGAATCAACTCAATGGCAACTGGAGTGAACACATAGACCTCTTCATACTATGCAATTATCTAATGGATTCAATGCGTTTTGAATAAATTACATAAATAGAGGGCTTCCACAAGGCTTCTCTTTCTTCTCTGGAGTTGAGTTGTAAACAGGCACAGGAGGGGCAGGCTTTCAACAACAGTCCTTTATTGGGACAAAAAGTACTCTGCCTTGTTCCATTACTGTAGTGTACTGCTACAGTTCTTTAAATTAACTGATACATTTGCAACAAAAAGCTCTGGAAACAAGTTTAGTTTAAGAAAATTACATGGATATAAAATCCTACTTTTTAACAAATACATTCACCACATATCTCACCATTGTAAGATTTCCTCACAATCTAAGTCTAATTATATATTGGCCTATAGAATTAGTTTATAATTACTCATAATTTGTGAGTTTACCAAAGTGGCTAGCTTGGAAGAAAGAGAAATGGATGACTACAGTTGTCCATAAAAAGTTCCATTTTAATGAGGCTTTATATCTTATAGGAATGCTCCAAAATTTTTATGTGCAAAAATGTTCTACTTTATCACATAGTTTCCTTGGGCTGTTTTAGAGGTCTGCTATCCACATTATTTTCCCATTCCATGTCCACTTAATTAAGTGTGATTTCTATCCAGGATATCAGCTAGTTATGCTGTTCTCCAGAGCGCTAGCATCTGAGTGGCTGCCACTGGGGAAAGAAGTGTCTCTGAATACACAATCCTGTAAAAATTGTTCTCTCACACTGACAGAAATAACTTTGTAGTTCATTGTCAATAGTAATATTTATCATTATTACTGTTTTCATGGTCCCTCACATTATTTAGTTATTATTCCTACCTCTTTCTAGTGTTATTAAAAACTTAGACTATTATTAGATTTAATTGCTGTTACTGTAATAGCTTACCACATACATAGGAAATCAACAAGATCAAAAGTGCTGAATAGCATTTCTTCTGTGCTACATTCAGCCAGTTGTTACTGAGTGCCTACTGAATACTTCTCTTAGCAAAGCAAATATGATCTTTTGATTCACCAAGAGTTATCCTTTTTTTGAGGTTTCTCTTTGTTAAAGTATTTTATGTGGAATGACCAGGTAACCACATCATAAGTTGTGGAGCTGCTTCCTTATTAGCTCTAGTTAAACTTCAGAAAGCATAACCAAATGCCATAGCATGATTATTTATTTATTTTTAAAAAAGATATGTCTAATGATGGGCCAGAATCAGGTAATCCAGAGGAAGTATCTTTCTTGGTTAATTTACACAGCAGTGATATGTGCATCTGGCTTGTGTTCTTATAAAGCATGCACTGTGTCTCCCATAATTGTGACAGATGTCTACTTTGGCATAATCCCTGAATTCCTAGCATGGTTTTACTCTTGTAGCAAAAAATTATTGAAGAAAAGTTGAAAACAGAATATCATCCTGAATAATCATCTCCCCACACATATTCTTTGAATAGTTGCAGTGGGCCAAAACTTGTTAGCATTACAGTTCCCCTTCTAAGTCTGAATGAAAGCAATAGAGGTAATTCTCATCTTTTATTATTAGGAATGAAGTAATATGGCAAATGAGTTTTGAAAATCTGTCTTGTGTGCCCCTCATACCCAAAATATAGTTAAAGAGTTTTTAGTTCAAAGTGTCTTTAACATGCATCAGAGATTTAACATGTCTTTAACAACATCGGAGATTGATACAAATACTTTTTGACTAATTTAGAGATTTTTGCTGTCAAGTTCTTCCCTAAAATCATCCTTTAAGATCAATATGGACTGGAAAGGCAGACTTTCAAGTCATTTTCTTTTCTTGTTGACATAGGCTCCACTAGTTTACAGTGTTTTCAATGTAAGTCAAATCAGAGTACTCAGACATCATTTTGACTCAGTACTATGCTTTGAGTGGTTCCTAGATGGTTTCATCTATTACGATGAACATATCTTGATAATCACTTCTAGAAACCAATGAGATTTCCTAATAGTAGACTTTTAAAAACAGTTGAATCTAGTGAGCAATTTCTCAGCAAGTTTCTCTACTTGGAATCCCTCCTCCATATTGTTGTTGTTGTTGTTAAGTGCCGTCGAGTCGTTTCCGACTCATAGCGACCCCATGCACAGCAGAACAAAACACTGCCCGATCCCGCACCAGCCCCACAATTCCTGCTATACTCGAGCCCATCATCGCAGCCACTGTATCAATCCATCTCATTGAAGGCCTCCCCCTTTCGTCGACCCTCCACCCTACCAAGCATGACATCCTTCTCCAGGGAATGGTCCCTTCTTACAACATGACCAAAATAGGTGAGACGAAGTCTGGCCATTCTTGCTTCCAAGGAGCATTCTGGCTGCACTTCCTCCAGGACAGATCTGTTAGTTCTTTTAGCAGTCCATGGTACTTTCAGCATTCTTCGCCAGCACCACAACTCAAAAGCATCAACTCTTCTTCGGTCTTCCCTATTCATTGTCCAGCTCTCACATGCATACAAGGTGATTGGAAATATCATGGCTTGTGTCAGGCGCACCTTAGTCCACAAGGAGATATCCTTGCTCCTCAGCACTTGAAACAGTTCCTTCGCAGTTGACTTTCCCAATGCTACACGACGTCTAATGTCCTGACTGCTGCTTCCGTTGGCATTGATTGTAGAACCAAGCAATGTGAATTCCTTGACAACCTCAATCTTCTCTCCATTGATTGTGATGCTGCTCATTGGTCCAGTTGTGAGGATTTTTGTTTTCTTTATGTTGAGATGTAATCCATACTGCAGACTGTATTCTTCAACCTTCATCAGTAGGTGCCTTAAGTCATCCTCACTTTCAGCAAGCAAAGTTGTATCGTCTGCATATATCAGGTTGTTAATGATTCTTCCTCCAATCTTGATACCACGTTTTTCTTCATATAGTCCAGCTTCTCGGATTATTTGCTCAGCATATAGATTGAATAAGTGTGGAGAAAGAATACAACCCTGACGCACTCCCTTCTTGATTTTAAACCATGTAGTGTCCCCTTGTTCTGTTCGAACGACAGCCTCCTGGTCAAGGTACAGATTCCTCATGAGTACAATCAAGTGCTCAGGGATTCCCATTCTTCTCAATGTTATCCATAATTTGTCATGATCCACACAATCAAATGCCTTTGCATAGTCAATAAAACACAAGTAAACATCTTTCTGGTATTCTTTGCCTTGAGCCAAGATCCATCTGACAACAGCTATGATATCCCTTGTTCCACGTCCTCTTCTGAATCCGGCTTGAACCTCTGGAAGTTCTCTGTCAATATACTGCTGCAAACGTTTCTGAATTATCTTCAGTAAGATCTTACTTGCATGTGATATTAGTGATATTGTTCTATAATTTCTACATTCTGTGGGATCACCTTTCTTTGGAATGGGCACAAATATGGATCTCTTCCAGTCAGTTGGCCAGGTAGCTGTCCTCCAAATCTCTTGGCATCCTCCATATAGTTCAAGATAAACACCACTCAGGCAGGCATGACATTTGATCATCCTGAAAGAGCTCAGGTATTTTATGATACCGAAACTTCCTATAAGGATGGCACAGCCATAGATAAGTTTTTGAACAATGGCTTAACTTCTTCTCCAGTGTGTATATAGGCTTTGAGGATGTTGATATAATTGTTGTTCCATAGGAAATTGCTGCCCAATGGTACTTAATTTTAAGTGAAGTATCAGTCACTTCTGATCAGTCATGTTTTCCTTCTGAAACAAGTAATGAGTCTAGGCACAAGATACAGTATTGTATAAGTGCCTTGCTCATATGTCACAGAGGCTTTACTAATAAGCTCTTTTACAGGGGAACTCATTTTGTAGAATATTTACATCTTAAAGATTTAAATCTGTTTCTTAAATCTTCAAACAAATATTCATCCAGCCAAAATATATGTGTCTACTATATGGCAGGCTTTGTTCCAAGTGGCAAAGATATAGTAGTGAGCAAAACATAAAATGCATGCCTTCACAGTCAAGTGAGTAGAAGGAATCAATAAATAAGTACAATATAGTATGTGTTAGTTAGTGGTAAGTGCTATGGGGGAAAATAAGGCAAAGAGCAGGGACAGGATCTGCCCTGAATATGAAGAGTTGTCATTTTAAATTGGGTGAGGAGGGAGGTAGCTGAAGGACAATTAACTCATACAGGTTTTCAGAAGGCAGCCCACACAGAGGGAAAAGTAAGTGCAAAGGTCCTGAAGTGGGAGCGCACCTCTGCTAGTTGATCTGGACTGGTTTGTAGATGTTCATGTCATGTATTTATACAGAAATTCAGGAAAATATTTTAGATATATAGCAATATTCTGCCAATTCTGAAAAAAAAGTTATTAAATCATATAGTAAAAAAGAAATTTAATGGTATACAGAGATACATATCAGGCAACAAACACAACATAAAAATGTAGTAACATAAAACAAATACTGGTATTGTATTTCAGTGGATGCTAATAACCAAAAAGCAAACCAGAATAAAAAAATACATTGGAATATATCCATATGTAGTACAAAGCAAAATGATCAGTAAAAATTGGTACAGTGTAAGCATACATAGAAAAACAAATTAGTATAAACTGTTATACAAGTATTCATAAAACACCAACACTAAAGTTTGAAAGTGGAACAAAATATGAAACAAAGTAAGTTTGAAAGATTTCTGACATCATGTTTATGCATCTTGTAAGAGCAGCAAGCAAGATGAGAAAACATGTATTCTATGGTATTTCAGTATGTATCATGGCTATAATACCAAGCAGGAAAAATGCAGACACAATAAGATTTCAGTCTTTATTCTTAAGACCTCAAAAATAACCAGGATCAAAGCCTGAAAAACCAGAGGCTCTGCTGAAATCAGATTTTTTATTATTACCAGCAGTTATTAAATTTACTTAGAAACCAAGTCACTGGCCATAGTGTGCTTTTTACATACATTGTGTGCATTTTTCTGTAAGCTTCAAATAATGATTAAAAAAAATTATCACTGCATTCAAAAGACTTTTCTGATGAATTATTTTGTTACTTTGCTAAGTCTGTAATGTTAAGCTTAAACCTAATACTATCACATAGGTTATGTGTAATCAGTTTATATCAAACATGATAGGTTAATAACTCAGACTATTTCTGATCGAAGAACACCTGGTGGTGGAGTGGTTAAAGCACTCGGCTAAGAGCCCAAAGGCTAGAGTTTGAACCCACCAGCCACTATGTGGAGAAAGATGCGGCAGTCTGCTTCTGTAAAGATTTATAGCCTTGGAAACACTATAGGGCAGTTCTACTCCGTCCTATAGTGTTGCTATAAGTTGGAATCCACTTGATAGTAGTGGTTTTGGTTTTTTGGGGTGGACTGCTGGTGGCGTAGTGCCTTGGGCATTGACTGATGACCAGAAGGCTGGCAGTTCAAACCCACCAACCACTCCTTGGAAGGAAGGTTGGGCAATCTACCTCCATACTAATATCACCTCGGAGAACCAAGGAGGGGTCACTATGAGTTGGATCCGACTCCATGGCAGTGTGTTGCATATGTTGTGTTTCTGATAATGGGACCTATATGGCTTTTTATTACTGTTATTTTGTGTTGCTGAAATCCACCACTAAAGGTAGCATCTTTTTGAACTCTCACCACAGCTCATAGAGTTCTGTAGCCTTCTCATAATATGTGATCATTCATGTGGCCACAACAAGATTTGCATACATTATCTGGAGGGAATGCACCTTTTAAGCCAGTAACTATCTAGCCTTCTCCCCACTGATATAAAACCATAAAAACTTAAAAGACATCCTAATACATGAATGGTTAAAAAATATACAACATTTAATACCAAAGAAGCTATTTTATAGGTAGAAAAAAAGACATTTCTTTAATTGAAGTGGAAATAAGAGCCCAGCAGTAGAAATTTGGGCAAGAACAGTCACCCTGAGGAGGTTTTCAGTTGTTTAAATGATGGGAAATGAGTGATGGCATTATCACTGGGAAAAAAAATTGGAAGCAATCAAAGAATGTTTTATTCTATGGCATGGAAGACTGGATAGGATTTTTTAAATAATGATGAATTTGCTTTTGTTTGTAGAAATAGATGATGAATTCATCAAAAACTTGAAAATACTGATTCCTTGGCTACTTAGTCCTGAGAGCCTAGATATAAAAGAAATCAACGGGAATAAAATCACCTGCCGAGGTCTGGTGGAGTACTTCAAGGTATTACTCTCATTTCTAGAGCATTTGTGAGTACTTAGATTTCACATGTATTGAAATGGAGGGGTCGCTATGAGTCGGGTCTGACTTGAGGGCACATAATAATAACAACAACAACAACACATGAAACAAAAAAAAAAGTGTACTCTGGATGTGGGGGCACAGATATAAGAAGTCCAAAAGTGATAAAAATGATGAGACCCCTCAAGAGAAGCTTGCTTTCAAATTTTTTTTTGAGGAAATTCCTTAAAAGTAACTTTACTATCCCCTTTTATCTTTGGGGAAATATTTCTTTGAAAGGTAAGTGTATCTAAGAATTGGAAACTGTTCTGATTACCTAGTGCTGCTCTGACAAGAATATACCACAAATGGGATGGCTTGAACAAACAGGAGTTTATTCCCTTACAGTTTGGGAGGCTAGAAGTCCAAGTGCAAAGTGCCAGGCTCTAGGGTCTGGGTGAAAGCCCCTCGACCTTGGGCTTCAGCTCTGCCTCTTGCTCCCAGCCACTGAAGCTAGAGGCATCTCTTCACTCAAGCAGCTAACGGGCTGCTGAGGCTAACAAGCCCAAGGTTGACAAATAAAATGGCGCAGTCCCGATGTTACCAAACCACAGCAGGCCATTAATTCAAGTCCATTGTAAGTCCCAAGGTTGGCAGAGCATGGCAAACTGCTAAATGACACAGCTACATGCAGAGTCCAAGGCTAGAGACTTTCACCAAGGCTTCTCCTTATATACAAGAAGCAGACCACCTCCAAAGGGCAGCTACTCAGCTGCTCACAGTAGATTCCATCGTGGAGTTGATTACCAGTCTCATCATGGGGAATACTACATCCAGCTTCCCAATCACTCAACCAGGCCCAGCCAAGTTGACACACAAACTGAACTACCACAGAAACATTTTCTCCCCCCTGAGTTTTCCCTACAAACACGTATACCTATGCTGAACTTTACCTTCCAGCTGAAGATTTTCCCAAAGGAGCTATACTTTGGCTTCCTACTACAGAAAATTCTTCCACATTTCCTGTTCTCTTGACCAAGAGCCAATCTGAAGTAGATCTAGTTTAGATTTGCTTTTACCAATTTACGTCAGATGGAAAACCATGGTAAGACCTAATACAACAGCACGTTTACCAATCTGTCAACTTGATTTGTGGATCAATGCCCCAACGACTAAAATGTCAATTAAAAAAATCCATAAGTTGTTATTTAAAATGCCATCATATACCACCTGTGTGATCTACTTATCTTCATCACTCTCAGCAATACATGATATTTTATTTATTCATATAAAAATTCTATTCTTAGGGTACATAATGCTGTGGAGAAGGACCTTTACACAAACAAATTCCTATGATTAATTGAAAGAGGACGGTTACTCCCAGCAGAGGGATGCAAAATTGTTTTAAAGGAGGTAGCAATGAGTTGAGCTTTCGAGATGGGTAGGATTGGCAGGTGGAGATGTGTAAAAAAGGCATTTTAGGAAAAGGGAGCAACAGGAACAAAGAAAGAAGGACATTAAAAGTTGAGAGAAACATGATAAGTACAGATTTCTGAAAATGTTTTTGAATTCTCAAGACCTTAGAATGCAATTTAATAGAGTTAGAGAAATACTGAATGGAATTGTTTGAACATGAATCTTTTTTTTTTTTTTTTTTCAGGCTTATATAAAGATATATCAGGGTGAAGAATTACCACATCCGAAATCCATGTTACAGGTATTTTTTAACCAAAAGGCGTAAAATTTTAAAACATACTTGTCACTAAGGCTAAGCTGCCATGCTTGTACTTACATATGCTCCAATCTGGTTATGAGTTATTACTGTATATAAATATTGGACAGAATGATTTATTGGGAGATTATTTTCCCATTTTGTGTTCAATAAGCATTTTTCACATACACCTTTAGCAACTACACTTGTGCTGCAATATTAATCCTTTAAACCAGAGTTTTCATTCTCTTTGTACCAAATTTGTATATAAAAGAGATTCATACTATGATTTAGACTCAAACAGGCAGCAAGTAGTAGAAAAAGCAGGTCCAGATTTTAAACAAGTCATCTCCACATTTAACATTAACAAAAGGAGAAACTAATTTTTTTCCTTAACATATTTTTAAAATTTCTCTGAATTCTTAATAGTTTGTTATTCTCATTAGTGATACATTGTTCTATCAGCAGTAGTCCTTAAATACACACACACACACACACACACACAAATTGTATAAATCTATATTTATTCCCATATTTCAGGTTTATTTATTATTTATTATTTGTTCATTTGGTGAGAGGCTTAAAATATATTTTTTTAAAGACAAAGTATCTTCCAAATGAAAATTGATTTTATAATTGTGGCTTACATAACAAAATTCTATGTTTTTGTATTTTGAAATTTCAACTTTATTAATATTTTCAAAATGTAGGACTATTTCAAGTTTCAAATTATTGGATGACTTTAGTTTCTTGCACATTTCTTGTATATGATGTTCTGAAATGAGAACTACCAGTGGAAGTTTAATAAATATGAACTCTATTTTACATCATATTTTATACTTTGTCCAAAGGCCACAGCAGAAGCTAACAATTTAGCAGCCGTGGCAACTGCCAAGGATACATACAACAAAAAAATGGAAGAGGTAAGAATGAAATATTTAAAATTATGTTCAAATAAAATCAGTATTTCTTTGATGAATTTACTCTTTTTTCCTCCCATCTCATACTGTGTACACATGGAAAGACAAAGTGGTTTTGCTTTATTCTTCTTCCTCAGCCTTATGTGTATTGTTTTCATTAGGTGCCATTGAGTTGGTTCCAACTCATAGCGACCCTTTGTAGAAGAGAAGGAAATACTGACCAGTCCTGCACCATCCTCACAATTGTTGCTATGTTTGAGCCCATCATTGCTGGCACTGTGTCAGTCCATCTCATTAAGGCTCTTGGTCTTTTTGTTGACTCTCTGCTCTACCAAGCATGATGTCCTTCTCAAGGGACTGGTTCTCTCTGATAACATGTCCAGAGTACATGAGAAAAAGTCTCTCCATATTTGTTTCTAAGGAGCATTCTGGCTGTACGTCTTCCAAGACAGATTTGTTCATGCCAGTCCATATATATTCCTATTTATTGTAGTCCTAAAATATTTTTTACACAAAAGAACTATGTATGCACAATTTTAAAGGCATTTTAAATGAGTTGTTCCTATTTATAATATCTCCCTACTCCTTTTTTTTTCCCTACAATTTATAAGATTTATTGGCTAACATAGAATGCTAACCTCCCCAGTATACCTCCCTATATTCCACAGTATTAGTATTTCTATCTTAAAGACAAAACCATTTAGTAAAAAGAAACTAAACCTCATGGACCAATATCTCTATATACTTCCATTTTAACATTCCAAATTAGCATGTACTTTGCATATATCTACTATTGTGATAGGTTTTTTATTCCTTGAAAATGTTATAAAATCAAAATTAATGTAAAATTGCTGGAGTCTTAGAATCAAGGGAAATATATGGAATGGTGTTTACAAGACTAATAAGGGTAATCAGAGTATTCTCTATATAGAGGTAGTCCCTGACTTACAATGCATTTGAGTTAAAACCAACAGACTCAGGACAATCTGTTTTTCTTTTTTTTTTCTGTACATCTTATTAATAATATGTACTACATAGTTTGCTGATGTTATCATTCTCAGATGTAATGTTTCCAACCCCGAAAGACAAATAAAGATCAACTTTACAGATACTGATAATGAAAGGCAATAGTAAGAAAAAAAAAAATGAGGAATTCAACTTACATCAGAACCAACTTATAATGTAGTAGTTGTTGTAGTATCACATAAGTCAGGAACTACCTATTAACTAAATCTCAAATAATCAAAGTAAATGGTATGGTTAACTGAGTTCCCTTGTAACTTTTTAAAAAATGAAAATGTAGTCCAAAAACATTTAATATGCTTCCACTTAATGTCTAGAAGAAAATACTCAATGGGCTTCATTCAAACAAAAAATCAGTGAAACTGCCAAAGTATATTTCATGAGTTTACTTTGAGAATTTCATTGGTCAAAATTACTTCAGTGTAGCTAGAACAGATTTCCTAGAGGAAACCTGGAAACGTAGTTTTCTTGGATTTGTTCTGAACATGAACTCAGTTTGCACTTCAATTTGTATCAGGCCTTTTCATTTTAAGAAACTTGGATTAAATCATGGGTGTTAGTTCCCATTTCAAAAAGAGAAAATGAAGAGAGACTTTATATAAGTCACTTAGAAAATATTGCTCTTCATAGAGATGGAGGGTGGAAAAATGTGTATTGACAAAACAAATATGCAGGTTCTGTCACATCATTAAGGAGCTCTGGTGGCATGGTGGATAAGGCACTTGACTGCTAACCGGAAGGTTAGAGATTCAAACCCACCAGCCACTCCTCAGAAGGAAGACGGGGTGATCTACTTCCATAAAGATTTACAGTCTCAGAAACCCAATGGGGGTCATCTTTTTTTTTGGTCGCATTATTAATGTATCCTAACAAATTCAATAGCTAAGTGAAGAATTTTGATACAGTTGCTAATTTTATTCTGCATTACATTAAAAGAAATACTTCTGTATCTGATACAGATTTGTGGTGGTGACAAACCATTTCTGGCCCCTAGTGACCTGCAGAACAAACATCTGGAGCTTAAAGAAGAATCTGTGAAGCTATTCCGAGGGGTAAAGAAGATGGGTGGAGAAGAATTTAGCAGGCGTTACCTGCAACAGTTGGAGAGTGAAATAGATGAACTTTATATCCAGTATATCAAGCACAATGATAGCAAAAATATCTTCCATGCAGCTCGTACCCCAGCCACACTGTTTGTCGTCATCTTTATCACATACGTGATTGCTGGTGTGACTGGATTCATTGGTTTGGACATCATAGCTAGCCTATGCAATATGATAATGGGACTGACCCTTATCACCCTGTGCACTTGGGCATACATCCGGTACTCTGGTGAATACCGTGAGCTGGGAGCAGTAATAGACCAGGTGGCTGCGGCCTTGTGGGACCAGGTAAGGATACTTTAAATTCTCTTTAACTCATCATGCATCTGAATGCCACCTGTGTACATTGGAAATATACCGATGAACGTGACTTAGGCCTCAGTTTTCAAGAATCTTACAACCTGCCAAAATGGCAAATTACAAACAACTATATATGTTAAATTCTACATAACTGTTTCCCAGGTAACATTTTAATGTTTTCAAAAAATACATGAATTAAGTAGTTTCACAATTTCTTGTACTAAAGAAATGTTCAAGCTGTTAAAATATATGAGAAAACAGTTGAGTTTTTATTTAGCTGATTCTGTTAACAGTATGTCTTAAGGATAACCTATCATTTGGCTAACATTGGCTTTGTTAGCATATATAAACCACTATCATAAGTCATTCTGTCATCATATCTTTAAGTATAAACTCCTGAAAGCAATATCTGATTACTTTGGATTGTTTCTATTTGAGCTACATTTTTGCACCAAGCCATAGCATGAACCAGTTGTCAACCTCTTGATCAGCTGCTCATGGATCAGGTATCCCTTCTTGTTTAATTAACCATATCCTAGGGAGCCAAGGTCGTTATAGTCCATTATCCAAATAACACGGATGCAGAGACAATTATAAACACACATAGAACAATAGAACAATGATCACTATGTCATTCTGAAAGTGTTTTCAGTTAACTCATGAAAATTTAGGGTGTTTGAGTAGAGCTAAAGTTGATATTCTTCACAAAATTTTGGAGATAAGACTTTTGAACTTTTATGATCTGCAGGTAGCAAGTAATAGCTATAATTCAGCATTAAGAGTATACTTAAATATCTTCTTTGTTATACATATATTCTTCACTTATCGACATGATTAGGTTTCATACACCAGGTTGTTTAGTGAAATTGGCATTATATGAAAGTCAGGGGCTATGCCATGTCTTTGATGCTGATGTTCCTCACCCCCTGGTTGCTCACCGCTTGCTGGGCACCTGACACGTCTTGAGAAGGCATGACATGGTGGGTTCCTTCTCCATACCTTCCCCACCACTACAGAGCCCACAGGAGCTAGAGGTGGTGGTGGTCAGATACTTCCCACTGCCTCCTGGCACCCACCCTGGGGAACCTCACTCCTCTCCACCTACTGACTCCCCCCTTAGGTGGGAACCCTACTTGTCCTTCATCCATCCTGACCTCACACCCCTTGTGGCCCTCTTCCTTCTCACTCCCTTTTCCCACCTATCCCCATTGACCTCCCTGGCACCTTTGGGCCCCTGCCTGGCCTATCCCTACCTGCACAATCTCATGTTGCATCACCTTTGGCCCATGCCCTCATCATGGATGAAATGGAGAAGTCCTGCAGCTTTGGCCACCATCCCTCATGTAGCCTGGTACTGCCTGGGCATCTGGTATATCACTTGGGGTGGCCCACAGAAAGTGCCTCAGGCCTGGCTGTGGCCTTGCATAGGGACCACTGGAGGTACCGCCTGAAAAATTTTTCAAAGTTGTCATAAATGCAAAATGTCAAATAACGAGACAGTTGATAACCGAAGAGTAGTGTTAGAATTATAATGAATAGATTTATTTACTTTATGCCTTTGAAAACTCTAGTTGGTGGTACTATGGGAAAAGAATGAAGCAGAAATATGATCCTATGAGCCATTGTTTTAAATAGGCCCTCAAGAGGTGAAAGAGGTGCTATTTGAGGTATATCCCAAAACCCTCCTAGAATATGCGACTGCAACCTATGAGAAATATAAAATTGGGTTCTTCAAGAGAGTCTGATAAAATATGTAATCAAAACTGAAAAATCTGTAGAAATACTTGTTCTTAAATACAACTCAGTGTTATAAACAGAGTTGAATATTGTAAAGCTATTAATGAAGCACAATATATATACATTCTTTTTCTTCCTCCTTTCAAACTGCCTTTGCCATAGGGAAGTACAAATGAGGTAAGTTTTTTTTTTAGCTACATATTGGTAAATTTTATGATATTCTTATTTTATAAATTAGGTAGCAACTAAAGAATGTCTTAATGCAGATTAGAAAATCTTTAGTGAGTATATTCCTATATTCTTCCAACATTTAAAAATTTAATTGTAAATTTTTAATGTAAGATTTTATTTCATACACTATCTATGATTTGATATGCACATGAAAAACAAAAATTGATGCCCTGTTTCTGTAAGAGATCTGTTTTATTCTTGAATGTGTAGGAAATTTCAAAATTCTTAATTCCAAATTCTGGCATGGTGCCTGGTGTTCTGCTGAGTTAAGCAAGTACACATATAAACCTTGAATGGCAATGTAACTACTGGAGAGTATTTAAATGAAGTTATATGCTTTAGAGAAGGCAATGGTGGTTCAGTGGTAGAATTCTCACCTTCTATAAGGAAGACCTTGGTTCAATTACCAGCTAATTCTCCTCAAGCCTACCCGTCTCTCATCTATTAGGGAAGGACTAGGTTCTGCTATGATGCTGAAGTTCTCAGCAGAGCTTCCACATTAAGATGGACTGGGAAGAAAAGCCTAGTTATGGATCTACATCCAAAAATCAGTGAAAACCCTATGGATCACAGTGGTCTGATACTGTTTTGCATGGTGTAAAGCTTATAAAGTTGTTTTTAAGCTTTAGAAATTGTTTTTAGTGACAAATTTAATGAGTTACCTATATCGTATCACCTTAAGTAGGTCCCAGGCCAGTATGCATTATGGCGTATCTCAACCTGGCCAGTATTCATTTCTCCTACTGCACATCTGCAAAACTATGTATCTGAGGAAACAATATGAGCTTCAATGAAGGAATTCCTTGTTATACTACAAAAATAGATCTTGTGGAGTCATTATCTTCAAGAAGCAAAGCTGATCTAGAACAACTACAGAGACAGCATGTAATTCTTTCCTCAGTTTCTGCTGTCACGTGTAACTGGATTATGTCCTCTAATCAAGTATCAATGATACATTCAGCATTTACAGGGCACTAAGGAATTATTTAATGTAAAATTCAGATATGCTTACATTATAAAGTAGAAAGAAATTTCAACTTTGTAAAACAACACTTAAGAAAAATTCCAAACTTTAAAAAGAATAGGGATGAAACTGAATTGTTAGAATCAGAATATAATAGATCTAATAGTACCTACCACTCATCAGTGAGTCTGTTGCACTGTGGTGACAGGTTGCTGCGATGCTGGAAGCTATGCCCCCAGTATTTCAAATACCAGCAGAATCACCCATGGTGGACAGGTTTCAGTAGAGCTTCCAGACTAACACAAACAAGGAGGAAGGACCTGGAGATACAGACCTAAAAAATTAGTCAGTGAAAACCTTATGAATAGCAGTGGAACACTGTCTGATATAGTGCTGAAGATGAGCCCTTCAGGCTGGAAGGCACTCAAAATGACTGGGGAAGAGCTGCCTCCTCACAGTAGAGTTGACCTCAATGATATGGATGGAGTAAAGCTTTCAGGACCTTCATCTGCTGATGTGGCATGACTCAAAATGAGAAGAAACGACTGCAAACATTCATTAATAATTGAAACATGGAATGTAAGAAGTAAAATATAGGAAAATTGGAAGTTCTCAAAAATAAAATGAAACACATAAAAATCAATATCCTAGGCATTAATGAGCCATGGACTAGTAGTGGCTATTTTGAATTAGAAAACTGTATAGTCTACTATCCTGGGAAGAACAAATTGAAGATTCATCATCAAAAAGATTTCAAGGGCAGTGAGTGACATGATAAATATCCATATGCCTACAAGGAAGACCAGTTAATACAACTATTATTCACATTTACACAACAACCACTAGAGCCAAAGGTGAAAAAGTTGAAGTTTTTACCAACTTCTGCAGTCTGAAATTGAGCAGACATGCAGTCCAGATGCATTGAGAGTTAATGGTGATTAGAATATTAAAGTCGGAAATGAAGAAGGATCAGTAGTTAGAAAATATGTCTTTGGTGACAGAAACAATGCTGCAGATCACATGACAGAATTTGGCAAGACCAATGACTTATTCATTGCAAATACATTTTTGAAACAGCAGCTATACATGTGGACCTCACTGGATGGAATACACAAGAATCAAATTGATTACATCTGTGGAAAGAGACAATGGAGAAGCACAGTATCATCAGTCAGAACAGGGCCAGAGCCCAACTGCAGAACAGACCAGCAATCTGCAAGTTCAAGCTGAAGCTGAAGAAAGTTAATACAAGTCCAAGAACAGATTTCACACATTGAACACTAATGACCAAAGACCAGACGAGGTGTGGGATGACATCAAGGACTTCATACATGAAAAAAGCAAAAGGTCATTAGAAAGAGAGAAAAGAAAAGGGAAAAAAAAAAGACCAAAATGATGTTAGAAGAGAATGAAATTTGCTTTTGAATAGAGATTAAGTAAGTGAATGGAAGAAATGAAAGAAAAAGAGCTGAACAGAAGATTTCAAAGGGTGGCTCAAGAAGATAAAAGTAAAATATTATAATGAAATGTGTGAAGACCTGGAGTGAGAAAATCAAAGGGGAAGAACATGCTTAGCATTTCTCAAACTGAATGAAGAAAAAATATCAAGCCTTAACTTGCAGTACTGAAAGATTCTATGGACAAAATATTGAATGAAGCAGGAAGCATCAAAAGAAGATGGAAGGAAAGCAAAAGAACTGGTGGACATCCAACCATTTCAGGAGGTGGTATATGATCAAGAATTAATGATACTGAAGGAAGAAGTCCAAGCTGCACTGAAAGCACTGGCGGAAAAAAAAAAAAAAAAAAAAGCCTCCAGGATTTGGGACTGCCAACTGAGATATTTCAATAAATGGATGTAATGCTGGAAGTTTCACTCATCTTGTGCCAAGAAATTTGGAAGACAGCTACCTGGCCAACCAAATGGAAGAAATCCGTATCTGTGCCTATTCCAAAGAGAAGTGATCCAATAGAATGAGGAAATTACCAAACAACATTAATATTGCACACAAGTAAAATTTTGCTTAATTAAAAAATGGTTACAGCAGAACATCACCAGCGAAGTGCCAGAAATTCAAGCCAGATTCAGAAGTGGACATGGAATGAGGGGTATCATTGCTTTCAGACAGATCTTGACTGAAAGCAAGGAATACCAGAAAGATGTTTACATTAAAAAACAATGTGTTTTATTGACTGTGCAAAGGTATTTGACTATGTGGATCATAACAAATGATGGACAGTATTTGAAGAATGTGGAATACAGAACACTTAATTGTGTTCGTGAGGAACCTGTACACAGACCAACAGGCAGTCGTTCAGACAGAAAAAGGGGGTACTCGAAGAGTATGAAGGGATGGACACTGGGAGGAGGTAACTATGGGGAGGAAGTGGGAGGGGAGCTGCTGCATTGTAAATTTTGGTCAATGACA